ATATTACTAACACTGTTCACTTTTTTGAAAATTAGGCCTAATCTCCAACAATTAACCTTTTCTGCAAGAAGTAATAGTTGGATCTATCCTCCCTTCTATTTTTTTCTTTTTTCAACTCCATCTATCAACCTCTGAAGAAGCAAAATGACATCTTTTTCTCTCTAGAAAACAACTGCCCTTGCCGCCTATGCCTTGGACAGTGACGTACAGTACAGTACAAGTAGATTTGGCAAATAGACATTTGCACTATGCTAGGGACCAACATCAGATACGGTATCTTGGAAATTTGAGATTTTTTAAGTCATTTGAAAAGGAACAAAAATTAATTATAAGGGAAAGGATTCTATCTTGTCCACATGGAGAGTTATTTTAGCCAGAGGCAAATGAAACACTACTAGTCATGTGCATTATGTTGTTGTGCTTTTTTTTAATTTAAAAGATAAATACATTCTGTTCCAACTTTCATCTTAGTATTCTAATTCTATATTTCTTTAATCAAACTTGTCTGTTGTATATGGATGAAAACATTTAAGATGTAAGATTTTTGATTTTGCTGGTTTATTGGTGTTGCATAATTCTGCTTATATTTCTAATCAGTATCTTTGGGTTTGGCTTGATTTTTGTGATTGTTGAGTTATATAGTAGATTGATATAGATTTTTTGAATTGTACTTTTGTTGGGAACACCTCTCAGTGTATTTTCCTAAGTAACTTTTTAGAGAAGGGTGTTATAGCTTGAAGAGTGATATATCAGCTTGAATAAATGCAGCAGTAATATTGACATAAAACTGATTAATGAAAATGTTTGGAAGTAGTTTCCCTTTTTTTGAGGTTTGTTCTTCGTGTGTTAACTACACTGCTAGATAAAAATATAAGTTCAAGTATTACTTTTGAAGTAAACTGTAAATGAATAAATTGGTTAAATGAAATATTATATCTATTATTTTAATATGTTAAATAGTTCTATAGTCACAAATTATTTGAAAACAAAATTATAAGTTCAGTGTAAATTTCATGCACAATCATGGGAGAATGTAGGCAAATGAACTTATAACATACAGAAATACATTAGTTGAGAATCATTAGGAAAAGAAGAATCCTGCCACATGGATGCCGATTCAGATAACCCGAAACTAGAGAAATTTGAAGATTTCATGACAGTGCAGAAACCCAGAGGGAAAGTGCTACTGCAAGTAACTGTTCTCAATGTGTTGTACCTAATGTTATAAAACACAGAATTGATGGAGCCACTAAAATGTATGCCAGAAAAAAATTGTTTATCATCAGGTAACAAAAGACAGACTTATTTACTTGCAATTTGATTTAAGTTGTCAGCAAATAAAATCAAAGCCACTGCTGGGCTTTCCCATTCAACTCTGACTATTTCTCGAGTTTTGAAATCCAAAATATGCTTAAATACACAAAACTTCTTGGAGGTGAAAGTTTCATCTTGCCACAATTCAAAAATGATGAAACAATAGTTTTCTAAAAATAATAATGAAGTTTTGCCATGGTATTCATGCTCCCCAGATCTATGTGTAACATAGAATCTGTGGGAGCTGCCTCTTAGGTTCATTTACAAAGATGGGAAACAATTTTCAACTGTTGCAGACCTGAAACAAGTCATTCAAAAATGTTTGGATGAAATTTCAGATGAGCTGATGATTAAATTAATTGATTCAAGGCAAGATAGCAAGTATGGTGTTTTTTTCATCACCAAGGAGGCTACACAAAATAATTCCTTAAACTAACTGTAAGACATAAAATCATAAATTCGAAAATGAATTAATGTCTAAAATTTTGATTTTTTTAAAATATTTTGTTTTCAAATAATTTGAGTATAAAAGTATTTAACATATTAAAATAATATATATAACAGCAGGTAAGCCCGGTGTTGCCCGGGCAAAAAATAAGAACAAACAGTAAGATTAGCTAATTTCATACTTCTAACCTTTCTATTGTATTATATTGTAGAATTTGGTTTATATAACTATAAAGGTTATCTTACATAGCCGATTTTACCCGTTTTCGCCGGGTGCAAGAATTAGGTCCCCTCTCTTCTGAGGCTAATTAAAGAATTTTTAGATGGGTCTAAAAATATGTTTGATTTCCCACAAAAAACATAAAAAACAAATTTAAAATAGTATAGGAGAAGGTGGTATTATGGAACTCCATTTACATTATAGTGAATTGTAAACAAGGTATCATAACTATTTCCATGTTTTTTGTACGAAAAGTACTGGTAACTAATAGGATTTTTCGCTAGCATAACTATAAGAATGATTTTTGAAGGCTTCTATAGAAAAAGTCAAAAAGTAGTTTTTGAGAAGCCGGGTGGTAATATGTAAGTTATTTTGGTTAAAAAAAAACTGTTCTGGATAGATAAGTGTTCTTTTAAATTGATTTTTTTAACTTTCAGAAATACATTAAAGCATTTTTTTAAAAACATACAACGTTATTGTATGTTTTTAAAAAAATGCTTTAATGTATTCAAAAACAAATAGAAAAGCAGAAAAAAGTTAATTAATTACAAAATCATTTACGCCAATGTATTTTATCGAAAAAAATGCTTTAATAATAAAAAATATGACCTTATCAACAATATATATTCCACCAGCTCTTTTTCAATATTCTCGGGAAGAATTGGCTTTCTAGCTAATGTCGTTTTCACAAATTGCTCCAGACAAATGTTTGTTTGCAAAACGAGAGTTTGCAAAGTACTTTTTGGCACTTAATAAAATTTTGCAGCTTTCTTCAGCTCCATTTTCTTGTCCCTTACCATACTCACTGCCTCTGCCATTTTCTCCTGGATCCATGTTTGTCTCTTCGGGTTTTTCTTTGGCTTGTTCAGTTAGGCTGTAATCAACTGAAAATTAAAAAAAATCAATTTGAAAAAATCGGTTTAAAAGAACACTTATCTATCCAGAACAGTTTTTTTTTAACCAAAATAACTTCAGAATTTAGCTAGATCTACTTATTTATAGTTTTAGATATCTATTTCTAATTTTTTCATTCATCCACCACACACTTTTACAAAAATTATTCCATAGTTTGAATTTATGGGTAATATGGAACCCGAGAGTAGTCGGGTTCCATATTAAAAGCACCAGTGGGATCCGTATTTCGCGCATCGCCATCCTGGGTTAATTTAATTTTTGTCAAACTTTAAAAACATCAGACCAACTAACATGTGCTTCTAGGCCTCTAGAATGGAACACATGCACCAGGGAACCTACAACTACATGATTTATATTTTAGAAGTAATAAAATTCACTTACCATTCAAAAGTTTGGAATTGTGAAAAACACAAATGTCCTGTTTCATTGAGTGCAACTGCATAACTGAAGTGGGAGGCATCTTCCCCTTGCTATGGATGTCTGCCTAGTGCAGTTCAGCCACAATTTGCTAGAGTTGGCATCTATTATCAGTCTGAAATGGAGGGGTTCCATAATATCACCTTCTCCTCTTCAGTAAAAGCCAAGTTCTTCAGGACAATCCTTAACTCTCTACCTCTCCCTTGGGGATGGAATTTCTAAAAATCCTTTCGTAGTGTGCATTCTCATGACATACTCTAACAGTGTACCAAATTTCAACTCCTAATCGTTTGGGCTTTGTGCTTATCATCATCAACCCATCTCAATTATAAGATTGTAAATGAATTAACTGTTTAAATGAAATGGTAATGCACAAAATTAATCAATCTAAAAATCTTTCCTGAACTGATATTTTTTTGACATTGCAAATCCCACACCTCAATTGTTCTATACTTTGAATATTCTTTTGCAATATCTCTCAATTTACCACTTATCACTTTGGATTTCTTTCTTCCTTTCCTGTTCAGATTAACACTGCTGCTTGACTCGAAAAACAAGCAGCAGTGTAACCAAAAAGTGCAAATTGGTGCAGTATAATCCCCTGCCAAATCTCCTAATGGTCTTAGTACAAAAATACAGTTTGCATCCAAAATTTTTTTCCCTAGTAATTATTAAAAATGTTTTATGCTTGTGGCCATATGACAATGCAATACAAACAGTCATTCCATTTGCATAGGTTTCATGCCAACCAAAGTGATCAAAAAGCTCTTAATTTGTTTCCCAAAATTTCTTATTGACCTCTATAAAACAGTCTTTAAATAATTAAGTCTATGGTTAACAAGCTGTCAGAATTATTTTATTAATTTGGAAAAGAAAGAAATTACAAATAAATAAAAGTATTACAAAAGTTTTATAAAATTTGATATAACAATAATGGGAACAATCGCGCATCTTATCCGACATTTACATACTTCGCGCGCCGGAAAAACAACTAAAAAAATAGAAAAAGTCAATGCTCAAAAATCTGGATGATGATGGCATAGAAATTTCTAAGACCCACTATTAAAAAAGGAACAAAGACAGTGGGAAGATGACCAATTATTGAGAATGGTATGAACCCACAGTCCAGATTTTTGAGCCGCCACATTTCCGACTACTCTGCAATTGCATACAATAGAGGCCTTATCACAAACAATGGTAAGTACTGGCCACAGCCCTGTCATCACCCCCAACAAGATGGAATTGGCTTTGGGAAATGAGCAGAGACCATCAGAATTGCCAATAACCCAAGCATAAAATAAACATTTGTTAGAATTAATAAATATGTCAATGCTTCTAAGACTTCCATATTTAAATGAAAGAAAATAAAGGGAAATTCACTTAGAAAAACTATGGAAATTCCCACAACTGAAGTTTCAGTTGTTTAAATTAATTTAGAGGGACAAAAATTCTTGCATGACAAGATATATAATATAACCAGTGTCAGTCTTCTTATACTTATTTTTATGGCAATGCTTAATTAATTAAGGAAGATCTGACTCCATTAAACTGCCAAATAATTGTTAAAAGGAAGGAAAATTGGCTTTTCTTTAAATTATCCAAACCTCATGGCTCCAAATATGGCATCTCCATTAATCCGTGCAAGTGCACTCCTTTTGTCCAATACCCCACCCTACTTTTATACATTTGATACATCTATCCAACAATATTTGACTTTTAATAAACAAGCAGATGGATGAAGAGACTTTCCTCACTATTAACTGTGATCAAAGAGGAATCTTTTATCTAATGTCAAACTGTTTTGGTTGATTTTTCTTCTCTTCCAAAAAGAAATGGTCAAACAATGACAGAGACTGGCCTCTTTCCACATTTTTCCCTGCATAAAAGTATAACAGTATGGAGAACGTAAACAATACAAGATTAAAAATCAACACATCAGAAACATTAAGGAGAACAGTTATTTTCAATTGTGACGTAGAAACACTGTCTTAAAGTTGTTTCTTACCAGCCAAAAGTCACTCAGTAAAGTTCTAGAATTCTGTAGTATATCAGATGGAATGAAGTGTCCTATGCTTTAAGAGGATGGAGACAGTCAAACGGTGTTTTTGTCGGAATACCAACGAAGACATCGACGAGCTGCTCTCTCCCAACAACCAAACGTCTCCCTTAAGTAATTCTCCCAGTTGTTTCGAGGAATAAACATTTGGTTCTTCTTCCGCAGTTTCATTAGTTCTTCTTTGTCTTTCCATATCCCTGCCAAATTTAAACAATTAATTGAATTTCTTAAAAATAATCGCAAATAATTTTGATCATTGGAGGATCTTTGTCTCCCGCAGCGCCATATTATTTTAGTGTCATGGAGCCAATATTAATACCAACACAGCTGGAAGAGAAATTTGAGGAAAATAAAAGTTTGTCAATGCCAGGTGTGAGATCCGACCTCAGAATAAGCCCAAACTTGTTCATTTTCCCCTCTAAATTTTTGACATATTTAAAATAAATTTGTCGCCTCCACGTTAAAATAACATTGTCGAAAAAAGGAATCAAATGTCGATGGAAACTTATAACATTCTGCTTTAGTATAAACATTCAACCCTCGAACAATGACATTCCTCTGCTGCAAGACAAAAAGTTTATAGTTAAAGTCCGAATTCGTCATTGTGTTTTGGATCCCGGGAACAACTTTAACCTCCACACCTGCAGGACCAATCCTATCTCTCACAATAGGTGATCACATGATTGATTTTCCCAGTCCAAAGCTATAAAAGCTACTTCTTTCCCCCTCCTCGGGGGAGTCCGACATCTACGGTCTAGAAGGATTAATTAAGTCTCCGGAAAACTTTAACTTTGTGCGTCGAACTCTGTGCCTACGTTGAAACAAATAGAGGTATGAACAAATAATTGTAAACTCTCTCTCTCCGCGAGTTAGGAGCTATCAGTGAGCTAAATTCATTTCCCCATGTTAGATATTGTAACCTATGTTTTTTTTTCTTTTCGTTTTATCTAATAAATCGTTGTTTCATTGTTAAATGGTGTCCTTTTACTCGTATATCGCCTATGCCTCGTCGACGACCCCTCTCACCTCCTCCACTCGACCTGACAACAAAAATCCCGACCCTTCGGGACCGCATTCGAAATTTAGCCATCTTGACACGTGAGTAGGTTTAACGACCTGTTGCCGGAAAGGGAGAGTCTACAGAACCGACCTCCCCGGCGGTTCACACAGGCATAAGCATTTCTTTCAGTTAGAAACATACAGCAACCATCAAATTTGTGTGCGAGTGATTAAAAAGACACTTTCTACCCTGTTGGTACCATGACAGTCAAAAATGCACTTCAAGAACACACACACGTGTGTTCGTGTGTGTGTTCTTGAAGTGCATTTTTTGACTGTCATAGTACCAACAGGGTAGAAAGTGTCTTTTTAATCATACCCACTGTGATTCAGCCAGGCCCATAATTGGGGTGGTTGGGTGATAAGGAATGAGACCAGACATATTTAGAGTGACTGCTTTGAACAACTAGGGTTGCTTGTCCAGATTTGATACTGATCCACAGAGTGTAGGCTGATATTTGAATGGTCAAGATGGTTAGGCATGTATGAAGGATTTTCAGAAGTAGCCTGGGAGAGAGTGGAGCAGACTCACCATCATCAAAAGTGATGATTGAAAATACAGTAATTAACACTAGAGTGTAGTGGCATGAAAAATTATATAAGTGCATTATAATTCACGTCAAAACGTTTAAAAATCAATTTAGAAATATGTACTGTACATGATTGTAGTACCTACAAAAAATTAAATTGTTTGAATAAGGTTACCCACCAATGTTTCTATGGTAGGTTTATTACACAATGTTATGGCAGATATATAAATAACTCCCTTCTATCATTGCATTGCTTAAATAATTTCATGTGTGCCCAAAGTGGTAGATAACCTTGGTCTAGTACCCATTTAGATAACTCAGTTGCTAGTCTTGTTTTTAATATCTTGATGTTCTAAGATATGGGACTGTGAAATTCTAGTAGTAGCTCCAATGTAAATAATTTCCTCCCGAGCATATGCGCATTGTAATGGAATTTTGTAGACTCCTGATTTTTCCTCATTATATAACACTCTTCATAGTGTAGGTTGGGGCTATAGGTAAAGCCATGATTCCTAAAAAGACCTGCTGTTCACCCTTGATGTGGAGGAAAGTCTGCAGGAACAAACTTATTTTTGACCTGATTATAGAGATAACAAAACCTGGAAGGAGAATAACTGGCATTGCATACTGCCCTATAAGTTGCAATTCATTGTTTACTAATGTCTGGGTGGATGGCAGGAGTGCTCTGTTATCTGGCCCGCTGTGCAAAAAGTTTGGTGACCCTAGCCTAGAGGTAGACACTGGATGCCATCTCCTGATAAATATTATCAGGAGATGGGATCCAATGTCTACCTCTAGGCCAAATTACTAATAATTAGTAGCATTATTATAGCTTGATGTGCTCCTGCAATCATTTGGCATTAAACTAAAAGTTGTGTTATTGGATGTTTATATTTGTTAATAAGGACTGAGATCATAAAAGAGGAGGTCCTAGAAGTGATAAAATTTGACATGAAAATTCAGAAAAACAATCAGAGATGGCTTGGCATGTCTAGAGGCATCAATGGGAAGAAAGTAATGAAAGAGGACATGGAAGCATGCTAGTGATAGAGACAAAATACAATCATGAAAACAGATTTCCTCTCGCTTATTCTTAGCTATCTTGTAATCTCTTAGTAAGATGTTTTCAAATCTTATTGACTTTAAATCCATTAAGGCATTTATCTGGAAAATTGGTAAAGAATTGTTTAATTCAATTTTTACAGGAAATTTCAGCATTATCGAAATGTCTAGGATACAACGTAACTTTTGTATATTCACATGGTGTTTCTCTAACACCATGTGAATATCAAACCAGATACACTTATAAATTGTACATCAGTGAACAGTATGAATTAGTTGTCCTGCTCCTGTGGAATGACTTTCAATAATCCAAAGACAACATTGGATGATTTGGTAAGTATATGATTGGATGCTTTAACACTTATAATAGGTAGAACCTTGAGTTAAGTTTCCAGTATACTCATCATGAATCCTTTTGTCTCTTATTGGTTATTGCCCAAACGGTTCATAACATTTTTAGACATGTAAACCAAAAGTTTTCATAAAAATCTTAAGCATTGGTTTTCCTGTTTCAAAAGCAATTAATTGCCAGATATACACCTGTGATCAAAAAGTATTGGGAATGATTCAATAAAATGGAAGATTTGCATTTATGACAATGTTTTTCTCCAATCCTCAAAAAATGCTTTAAAGTCATTTTCGTGAAACTCCTTCAGGACTCACAGCAAATTTTGATTTATGGCATTGACTCAAAACAGTGACCTTAAAGCAGAAATGGGAAAAGGTCACACAGTCCCACATCAAATGCTTATGAAGCTTTGTTGAATTTTTGGCCAAAAATTCATGAACAACAAGAGTATTGTGAGCAGGTGCATAATGTTGTTACAAAATCCGTGAAATTTCTCACCACAAATCGGGTTGTTTTCTATAAATTGCTTCATGCAAATGACACAAAATGCTCAAATAATCATCTTTGTTGATAGTGTGACCAGTCTGAAGGAATTCATGACAATCAAAGAAAACAGTCAACATGATCTTGATTTTTGACCAATTTTGATGTGGGCTTTTCAGTATTGCTTCACCTTTCGAGTGCCATTCATTCGATTGTCAAAAGCATAGATCCATGTTTCATCACCTGTAATGATGCATTTTCTCTTAAAACTTGGCCACTCAAAAGTGGTGGTGTTTTCAGGATGACTTGAGACATGCTGTTTATCAGCTGAAATGGATGGAATGTCAGAATATAGTTTATCTTCGACACACTTTCTCCCCTCCTTGAACATCTTGTACTATTTTATAGTCTATTAAAAATGAGAGTTTTCATTGGAAATGTTGCAAAAAGCCTTTGTAACTGAGCCAAAGAATGCACATTAAGTATTCTTTTCACAATCATAACAGAATTTGTGCTACAAAAACATTACCAATCAACATTTTGAAAAATCGATAATGCAAAATTTCTGTACACAACAAGCATTTATTTGCAAACTATCAGGTCAGTCCATAAGTTCATGGGTATTTTATGACCTTGAGAAAAATCGTGTTTTGCTGTTAAAATTGTCAGTCTAATGTGATACTTTTTACACTGAAGTGTTAAATTGCATCTCATTCATATAACACTGTTCAGAATTGAGAACATTTAAGTTGTTTATTTTCTTTAAAATGGAAGTAACAGATGAATATGAGAGACATGTTTTATACTTTTTATTTTTAAGTCATGAGAATGCTACAAATGCAGCCAAAAAATTAAATACTGTTCATAATCAAACTGTAATTAGTGTAAGGACTACGCAGAAGTGGTTTGAAAGATTTAGAAATAATGATTTTAGTGTGGAGGATAAGGCTCGGACTGGAAGACCCGTTGACTTTGTTGATGCTTCTCTCTCTGCACTAGTTGAAGCAGAACCATCTTTAACAGTTGATGAAATTGCAGAATGTTTAAATTCATCCCATGGAACTGATCATAGACATCTACAACTACAACAAATCAGAAAAGTTTCAAAGCTAGGAAAATGGATACCACATGAACTGTCAATAGCTAACTGACAACAACGTCAACTGCTCAACTCAAAAGCTTCAACTGGGAAATTTTACCTCATCCACCATATTTGCCAGATATAGCTCCCAGTGATTATCATCTTTTTCGGAGTTTGCAGAATTTTTTAAAAGGGAAAACTTTTGAGGATGAGAACAATGTAAAAAAGGCTATTTCTGAATATTTTGATTCAAAACCGAAATCATTTTACAAAGACGGGATTAAAAAGCTACCATCAAGATGGCAAGAAATTGTACAAAATAATGGTGAATGCATTATAGATAGCAACAAAAAAAATTTAATTAAATTTTATTTCATTTTTTGTAGATAAAAATACGCATGAACTTATGGACTGACCTGATAAAACAGATAAAGTTTGCTGCTAGATGCCAATTCAAGTTTTACCAAATGACAACAGCGCTCTTGCATGTAGTTTAAATGAACCATTTCAGATAACTTTACGTGGCAAACAGTCTTACTTTTGATCACAATAGTAATAGTAATCTCCTGTGATTGAGTCTGACACTTTTTTTTTTTTTATTTTTCCAGGCATAGGTTGGGGTCCAACATATCTGGAGCATACTGCCAATGAAAAATTTCTGGGTTTTTACATACCCAGATTTAATCCCAGGCCACCAAATTAGTTATGGTAATGTAAGTTAAGTTTTGCATCACCATGAGAAACTTACAATGCTAGTAATTTTTCTCTTGATAAGCAACTTCAGAACTGACTCCTTAAAAATTATTAACACTGTCTAATGGATTAAAACTAGGCACCGTATTTGTAAATAAATGTTCATAAAAATTTACCTTTTTGCATGCAGTACAATTATTTTTCCAGTTGCTATCACAACTGCCTCCACTTGTAATCTATGGGTATATGGACTGTTCACTTATGCACAGTCATGAGGATAATTCATATATACAGAGTAACAGAGATGTATACAGAGAAAAAAAATACGACAACTGAGTAAATAAGTAATAGTACAAGCCGTTAACAGTTTGATTTTTTCCCCGATAAAGGGGTTAAGAGGATAAAGCAGGAGTTTATAAGATCCCGTACGAGAACCAACAGTTACGATTAAAAAAGGAGTACATAGGAGTTACCACGAGGAAATTGGGGGTAAGGGTCAGAGAACATAAATATGATGTTAGGAAAAAATCTAACGCAACTGTGCTGGCCCAGATGGCTCAAGCCCAAGGTTCCGTAGTTGGATGGGAAGAGGCTGAAATCATTAGGCAAATACACTCCCCAACTTTAGCGAAGACTGCCAAAAAAATGGAAATATACAGAAGCAAACTTGATGATAGATGCAGAGGGCCTACCCTCAGCATGAAAGTTTGCTATTAAAAGAATTACAAATAGCTTATGAATGATGACTTGATTCGCAATTCACATTATGAGAGCATTTATAGTTTTTGTTAACGGCTTGTACTATTACTTATTTATTGTTGTGTTATTTATTTTTACACTTTAATTATCTTACTTATTTACTCAGTTGTCGATATTTTTTGAATTTGAATTTAATGTTCTATTCTTTGTGGTTATTCCATATTCATTTTTTCAACTTGAAGATGATCTATGGAGTAGATCAAAAACGTTCGTATTTTAAATAAACTCCCTCAGCAACGGATTAGGTGTTGATTATTTCAAAATTGTAACATTTAAAGAATATGGTTTATCACAGAAATTGCATGGATTCAGATTTAAAATATCACTTCAAGGTTGTCTACATTATTTCTATGTTTTGTTTCATGTATTTACCTGTAAAGCACTCCCTAGCAGCAAATTTTGGTGTCAATCCACTTACTGGTTACTAGTGCTTGAATAGCAAAACTTTAATTATGGCCTTGTATGTTTCCATAATACTGAACATTGTATTTTAAAATAATAATCTTAACACAAACTTTGATTTATAATTTTAACTTGTACACAAATGCAGAAGTCACAGTCTGCATTTCATGAGAGCAATTGTCTACATCAACTCTGGAGAATTTTGTGATTATTCTACTATTTATGCAACATAATTATAGTTAAACACATTAAAATATTTGTTTTCATCATCACTTTATCATTAAATAGATAGTAGTACAAAAAAAAAATCATATGGAATTTCAGTCTAGACTATATAAATAATTGTTCAGTTTCTAAATGAGTTTGACATGCAAATGCATAATACATTCCATTAGGAATAGTTACCTTTCTAAACTAGTCTGAAAGTGTTTTTAGATTTTTATTATTTTGAAATACTTACCACAACCAAGTCCAGCAAGAAACGCAACACCCAAACAAGACATATCCCGGTGTTTCGAGCGTTCTATTGGACGGCCAGTCAAATCGGCAATTAGTTGGATCACAAAGTCATTGTTTGCCACGCCGCCATTAACACTGAAAAGAGAATGTTATTTAAAATTTAATGTAATATTTTTATAATTAAAAAAACTAAACTCCATTGTTCCATATACTTTTTATTTGAGTAATCGTGCATGCTGTCTCAAATTTGCCCATGGATTTTACTTTAATGAAAACTGATAGGAAAGCTAGGACAAGGAAGAAAAAACAACTATCAACCAGGTGTTCAGATTTTAAGACTGTCTCTGTGTTTTGCTTATTATAGAATGATCCCAATAGTCCAGACTGGGTACCATTGCTTCCTCACAAATCTCAAGAAAATATAAAATAGAATGTTACAATTTTATAAAAGATGAAATCCAAATAATTCTTTCAAAAATGTTTAGAAGATTGCTGCTTTTTTTTTTTTTTTTAGACATTCCACAGAGGAAATAAGTACAGTAGAGCATCAATCAACCAAAAGCGTTCCAATGGGCAAATTCAAATTTTTGCTAGTGCTGTGGCACTCTCCCTCTCCCTGCCAACTTAAAACTGTAAGCCTACTTTATGTAAGATGTGTGATACAAATTATATACAATACAGTTTTGTGCTTAATATATTTTTTCGTAAATGATCAGTTATCCAAACCCCAGTCCCGAATTGTTTTGTATAATCGATGCTCTAGCGTACCGATGAACTAGCATATCAAAATAATGCAGCTGAAACTTCATTCTATATAAATACCATAATAGAAGATAATGCTGGTTACATCCAAAAAGTAAACATTTTTTTCTACACTCACTAATGTTTGATCTTGATAAATATTAGTTGTAATATTCTGTTCTCTTTTACCATTTTATAGTAATTACCATATAAAGAAATGTTTATCAAACTGTCAGAGTTCATTAATACAACTGGAATAATTATGGGTAAATTTCAACTGAGAAAAGATCAGTTTTCAATTAAATGGCCACAGAGAAATACGGTTTGAAAACAGTAGATTGACTGATTTAAACCATATAAAAGTTTGGAAGGATTTAAAGCTTCTTTTGTATTGTTTTACATAATGTGCCTAAAATAATCCAAATGTGTTTTTTAGTTTAAAAACGTTATTTCTGGTGTATTTGTCTATTGGATCTGCAAATTCCAAACCTTTATATTTGTTTTTTCTTAATATCTTATTTTGTTTCAATGTCCAACAAATTAAAATTTCTTGGTATTGTTCCCTTGTGTGTCACTACTTACAACTAACCAGAAACATAAAATGGAAGTTAGAGCAAGTGCAAGTTCTTGTTTATCCAAGAATATGGTCAATGTCAGGGTAGATGCAATAGCCATCTGAGCACCATAGTGGAAATTATAGGCTGTAGGCACTGGGGCCATAGGTAACTGAGTATGGTTATATCTAAATTAATAAGTTTTGGAAACAAGGATCAGTCAGACAAAGATCTGGATAGCATAACTGGCAACGTGACCCCACAGTAAGCAGGACTCAAAGCCATACCTTTCAGTACTTTCAAAATATAATTGTAATTTAATTAGCTAAATTTAATAATTTAATTATTAAATTTAGCTATTTACTTATGGTGCCAAATTACTTAGCATTTAATTAATAATAGTAATATATAGTAAAGCCAAGCAATGCTGGCATTTGATGATAAATATGTTAAACCCAATAGTTATTTATATATGTAAAATAGAATGACTGCTCGTCCATCCTCTAAATGCCTTTTACTGACTTCCAAGGGATAAAAGACAAATTAAATGTCAATTGCATTCTTGAATAAATATTTCAAGTGTTTATGGCCAGACCTTTGAAGTTATAAATATTAAAATAATAATAGCGGAATACATTATTATTATTTAATCTATTTTCTTCTTATATGCACAAACAACAGGTTTGTATAGTGTCACTTAGCTTATATTTCAAAAAAGGCTCTCCATGCCACAGATTACAGCATTGACTCTCACCATGTTCTGATGTTTATTTTGAGGGGAAATCTAAAAAGTAAGAATATATGCAGAGGTCTTACATATCTAGAAAATGCTCCTATCACTTATTATGACATCTATTCTTTATAAATTTTTAGTAGTAAAAGTGACTCAACAGGTCATGGATAGTCTAGTAAATTTATAAAAATGCAAAATGAGACAAGTCATTTACTACATAATGCCAGCTATTGGTGAAAAGGTCAAATTAAATAAATTTAAGCACATTTTTTTTTTTAATAATAAAATGATTTAAGTGTATTCATCTAAGTTGTAGTAAATGAAAGCAATTTTAAAAGATTTCTTGTCAAAGCTATACTTTTAAATAAAAGAAATTTTTAGCCATTACATTAAACTTGCATTCCAAACAAACCAAATGTGTTAAAAAAATAAATGAAATATATTTACCTGATGTTTTTTAATGTAAAATCTGCTTCTTCTTCCATAATATCATACAACTGTTTGATTCGAAATGCTATTGCTTCTAATATTGCTCTTACCATGTGACATTTTGTTGTTTTAGCATTTAAGCCAATAAATGCAGATGCAGCGAGATTGTCATTAAATGGAGCCTGAAACAGGAACATTTGACAATAAGACTTAGTTTTAATAAGTAATTTTTAAATTAAATGCACATACAATTATTACTCGAATGACAGTATCTTTCTTGATTGTGCTTCAATTTTCAAAAATTGTAGACCTAGAAATTCCCTCTGGTGTCTGTCTATCTTTCCTTAATCTCAAGAATGGAGTTAGCTAGATAAAGTCGAGACCAGATACGGAAAGCTTAAAGGTCAGGTGCAAGCGTTAGGGATCTCTATCCCCTAACGCTTGCTCCTGAGATAAGTCTTTTTTATCTTGCCCGAGTAGTTAACACTTGAGCTCAAAATAACTCTCGTGTGTCCTTAACAATTAGTTTGTTGTTCTTCAGATGTTATGCTAGTAAGTAGTGGATCTTTTTCTCATAAAAAGCAGATGGGTAACCTGGCTTTGTCAACAGCAGGTCTCAGTAAAGTACTGGGGTTGTGTTTGCAAAAAAAAACAATATTATAATATTCATTATATAATTCTAATTGTAAAAACATGGAACTAAGTTTGAAATATTGTATGTTCTGAAATAGAACATTAAGCAATATAGACCTGAAGCAGATCTATTATAAATCAAAAAATGTTTACTATATAACTAGATTGCTGTATATTAGATCTCTATGTAATACGTCTCTGTAATCCAACAAAGAGACTTCAGTGAGTCCGTCGACCATTTGTTGGATTACAGAGACATATTACATAGAGACAAAAAATGTTTGACAAAGTTTGTACTGGTGGTACATTAAGGTTCATTTTTGTGTGTATATTTTCTTAAACAATGTTCTCTCTCTTGGTAGCAATGAGTCAGTTTCAAATAATACTTTAAATTCATCCAAAACATTTTTTAATTTTTATACTGTTATAAATTTTGAAAACAATCTATTCTTTTCTAGTGACATTTTCTTATTATTTAAAGAAAGGAAAAAAATGACAGAAAGCAGCCTGTTACACCCTTGATGGAAATAATAATATAGATTTTTGGACATCAGAAATATAAATGAGTGTATGAAGTGCAAAATTTTTTTAGGAAAAATTAAATTTTAACATAATTATGTGATTATAATCACAGTAATTTACAAGAAAAGTAAATTATATTGTGATGCTATTGAATGTGACATTAAAACGTTCATTATTCTACACAAGAATAGTTTTCAAGTATAGCATTTACTGTCTAAAGAGGACTTAAAGCTGCAACAACAAGCTAAGACTACAAAAACTCTAATTGGAAAGTTTTTAGCAGTGATACACATCTATGGAATCCACTTATTTGCTGTTTCTTTAGATTGTTATTTTTTAAAATCATATCATAGGTAATAATCTTTAACTCCATAAATTAATCTAGAAACCAGACTATTTAACTTAATTTTAGATAAAATAAAAATGTTCATCTTACTTGCAATCCACTAAAAGCCGGAATGAAGTAAACACCTCCAGAATCTGAAAATAAATAAATGAATGAAAACAGTTCTTTAATATTACAATAGTGTACAGGTGATCTGAAATTGAATTCAGTTTGTACTAATTCCAGAAATTACAAAGATTTTACATAACAATTGTCAATGAAATGTAGATCCACTACCAAGGTATCTCATTTCTGTTTGTACTGTAATAAATAAAACCTAAAGTATGATTAATAACAAGTCACAGGCTTCTACAGCATTAAATTTCTATGCCTTAGTATTTTAAGGTAGAATTAAAGTTAATTTTTTAAAATTATTTCTCTATCAAGTGTGATCAGATATCTCAAAAAAAAAAATGGTTAATTGAAATTTTCCTGCCCCAATTATCTTAGATAACTGACTCTCCTTTGTATATTTTTAATATTAAAAATGATTTAAAACAGATTTTTGTATTACAAATAAACATTTGTAACAAAATATGTTTCCACACAACAAATTTTATGTAAATGAAGCAAGACAATTACAGGTATACCTCGACTTACGTCGTTTCGAGTTACGTCGTTTGTCAAAAAAGTATATGGAAAAATAAAAATCAAATTTAAGTCATTTTATTCGACTTTACGTCCGTCCGCCACAAATATTGAAGTCATAATATCACTAGAAAAGCGTTTAAAGCACATAAAATCATATTAAAATATATACATTTACAAGTATGTACTGCATTTACAGTACAGTACATGCATTCGTAAATTTAGATTACTTTTGTTCTGTACTCTATTAAAAACTAAAATTTATTTGTTTGTAAGCTTAAAATAGATTCTTATTAACCATATATTATTAAAAATGCAAAATACAGAACTGGGAATAGTAATTTATGGTTTAGCCTAGTGACAAGTAGATTCGGAGACAAGTAAATTCGACTTACGTCGTTTTCCTGGAACCAATTACCGACGTAAGGCGAGGTATACCTGTATTTCAAAAATTATAAGTATGGCTTTACGTAAAGAACCACTATATTTGGCCACTATATTGTTACTAAAATACTTTTATATAAAACATTTCAGTAACCTTACATCCAAATTTGGAAGGGTAACAATGAATCAGCATTTGATCTTCAAATTCTGTGGGATCAAGTTTTTAAAGTCGCGTTCCGTGGTACATTAGCATTACATTTTAGATTTCGGTTGTTCCCGTGGAAGATCTTTGGTGCAGGACAAAAACATTTTAACTGATTTGTTGTTACCCTGCTTGATTGGATGTAGGTTATTAAAACATTCATAGTTATTGTCCAGTTTGGATTTGAAGAATATTTTAACTAATTTACTTTATGTATTTCAAATTAAAATTTTAGTAAATTTTTTCCATGTTTTTTTATTTCTTAAAACCTTTAATAGATTTTTCAATCTCTGTGTAACAAAAACTTTTTGGCCACTAGCTTAATTATGGTCCTTAGCATGATAACAGAGATTAAGAAGTAAAAACTTAATAATTTAAAGTTATTCATTGATGAAATCACAAGTGTTATACAATATTTAGAGATTTTTTTCAAGCATCTCCTTACACTTCGGTGCACTTTTTGCATTTGTGTAAACAGAATATTGTGTTTTTGATCTAGACATACTATCCCTAGTAAGTACAATGACATTCCTTGTGTTTGCACTTTTCATCACATAAATAAGATCTTCCATCCATCATATCTATACAAAAATCTCAGGGGATTAGATCAAGTAATGTGCAGTAACTATCAAAAATCGAATTGAAACTTAGCCTACTAAGTATTGAACCTGAGTATGACAGTTTTTGCTCAAAAGTTTCTCAAGAATATTCTTTAACCACAAATGAAATTTTGTGAATTACCCGACACATCAATAAGTGTGATAGACTACCTGGACAATCATTACTAGTAATTAAGAAAAATTTTTGTTAGTAAATGTTATATGAATTAATTGCATCGACAGTTCATTACTTTAAGTAAAATAAATTAAATGTTTTTGATTTTGATTAAACTTGTACAATTTAAATTTTGTTAAACTCATATTCCAGCAATCAATGTTATTTATTTTAATTACAAATAAAATAATTTTTGTCAAATACCTGGAATAGATGTGGCAATTTCACTTGACTCAGACGGATCATCAAATAAACCTGTAAATATTTAGTTAAGCATTATTGTAGTTATTTTATTCAGTTTAATAAAGTTATTGAATTTCAGTTCACTTTTTTTTTATATTTAGTCCTTTTTCATAATGAAAACATTAATTCATTAATTAAATAAAAAATTTTTCTTAAGTCAATAAAGGATTTTTGCTTTTCTAATCTTTTAATACAACTACTTTTCATAAGTTTGACATGTTGCAAAAAATTCATTTTATTACATCTCAATAAACAAATTTGAAAATTAATAGCAAATTAGGAACGCATTTCATTTTAAAATATGAGAGAACAATATTAATGTAATGAATATCAATATTTTAATAATTTTATGTAAGTTAATGCATTATAATTGAATAATTATATTGTTATTTCAGAAGTTTGGAATTTGCATAAAAATGCATGCAATGTATTGTATTTGAGTTAGTAGAACATTAGGCATTTGACTGCACAAGCATTTGTTATTATTTCTGTATGTGAAAATGGGATCTGGAAGGCAATTAATTTGTGCAGAAAAGGTTCAAATTGATGCACTTTGGAAAGAAGGAAACATACCAATGGAAACTGCTAATTAAAATGAATTAGGGGGTGGGAATTTAATGGTTTCTCTATCCTAGAGAGGATAAAAAAGCCATTAAAACTCACAGAAAACATTCTGGTTGACCCAAAATTGTTGCTTTTCCTGATATTGTTTTAACTAAGCAAATTTTACATAGTAACAGATTTGTCTTGGCATTAAGTTTAGCTTGAAAATGGTCTAGTAACATTGCCAAGAATGTGTCTACTACAACCTAATACTACAACTTGTAATCCTAATTCTGCCAGTCTTTTGTCAAAAGACTGGCAGAATTAGGATTACAAGTTCCTAAAGAAAAGCCATTTCTAAACAAAAAAACAATATAAATGTGTTCAGCGGTCAATAGACAATTAAAAATGTGATCCGAAGTGACGAAAGTGTTTTTTGTCTGACCTTTGGTGATAAAAGAGTGTGTATTTATTGCCACAAAGATGAGAAATTTAAACCCTAATGTATTAAAAAATCATCAAAGTTTCCATCTAAGGTCATGGTATGGGAGTGCATGTCTGCCAATGGAATTAGCAGCTTTTTATTCTGAAAAACACTGTTACTGCTGATATGTATATTGATATAATGGAGAGACTTCAATACTTGAAATTAAACAAGAGTTACATGCTGATGATAAATTTATCAGCAGGCTAATGCACCTGCACATAAGGCTAAGCATGTGCTAAACTGGTTGAAGGATGGGAAAATTCTTCTTCTATGGTGGTCTCCATACTCAATGTATCTCCAATAGAGAACATTTGGAAAACAAGGACAATTAGATACGGAAGAATCAGCACTACAAATGGATTAATTGCTTTAATATGAAGAGTGTGGAGTGAAATCACATTGGATGAATATGCCAAACTTGTCGAATCGTTACCTCCAATTCCAAGCAGTTATTTGAGCCAGGGGGCATCCAACAAAATATTAATTTTAATATTATTTTGTCAACTGATACAATTATTGAATATTTATAAAAACTATTCCAAACTTTTGAAATAAGTTAACTTGTTAGAACTGAATAAATATTAATTATTTTATGTTTCATTATTAACTAATGTAAACATTCATTACATTGTTTAATATTGCTCTCACATATTTTAAAATGAAACATGTTCATTGAAATGTAATAAGATAAATTTTTTCACAGCTTGACAAACTTATGAAAAGTAGTTGTATATCAATGCAATTACAGATTATTGTGCATATAGGAAATAAAAATAGAAATTAAGAAAATTAAGTAATCAAAATAATTGCAAATTCAAATTGGACATCAGTCTCACCCAATTTCTATTTAAATCAATGTAAAATTCTCTCGGTAATTTAAATGCGATCTTGCCGACTCCTGTTTACTCGAATCAAGCACGTGTAACTAGATTAACATCTTTCAATACTTAAATTTCAAAAATGGGATTTAATTTATTTATAAGTTTAAAAACATTTCAAATTAGTCGAAGCATGACAGTTTACGGTCACCCAATGCACTTGTTTTTTTCATGGATTCTCATGGGCAATACAGAGCTTTTGTACTTCTCATTGATTAAACATTATTCTGCTTGCCATGTGATGGCAATGTGTTGTCAAAATAATTTTTTTTTGTTCTGTAGCATCCAGAAATGATTTCCTCTTAATTCAAACCATCTAAGGCCATCCTTCCAAGTTCAAATTAATGAGTCTACTGTAATAATAATTTAAGTAGAAATCCTATAATATTATATAAATGATATCAAATTCAAATATATATATATGAAACCTTAATAATTAGGTTTGTTATTTGTGCACACGCACACAATGTAATAAGACAAATGTTAAGGCAAGTTAAATGCCATGGAGGAGCTACTTGACAATGATATTCTTAAAGATTACTGCAAGGATATTATTGTCTGTTCAGTAACTTAGAAATAATATAATCTACATAATTATGTAATGATTCTAAAATTACTACATCTAGAAGTAAAGATCAGCCCAGTGGTACGAACAACATAAATAATAATAGATATTTCTAAATTATTTATTAAAATAAATACAAGATGGAAGCATTGCCTAATTTTAAAACCAAATTAGCCTTGCTAATAACTGATTTAAAATACAGCAAAATTATAGTATGTAAAAAATCTAACAATATTTGATTAAATGTTTAATTTACTTGGATATTACTATTACAAGTTTTATTTTAGTTAGTTTTTACACTCTATTTAAATAAAATAGATGAAAATGACTATCTTTTAAAATTTTTAGAAATACAAAGTGTCTTTCAGCTAAAACACTCGATCGGCACCAATTCCGAGGTAACAAATTACATTAAATAGTTAACAATAAAAAGTTATTTATTCTACTCTGATTGCTTTTCCATTTTCTTATCCAAATCTTTACTATTAAATTTTAAATAGTACTTGAATAAAACTTGAATTGTCATTTTCTTACATTAATTTTTAAAATCTTATTAAAACAAAAATATCACATCTACGTGGAGGCAAACCGTAATTGTATAGAAGATAAACAAAATAAACATATAACATTTTATTATAATTTTAAAAGTCATTGCAATATTTTAATAGCTTTATCTCATAAATATCTTTTGGACAAATTCCTTGAATTTGTCCAAAAGACAGCCTACTCTAACTTGTTTAAATTGAAAATATTTCAAGTCTAAAAAGTGTTTTCATTTCTACAAGAATTAATTTAAAATATAATGAAATTACCAAGTTTTTGAGCCCAGCATATAACTGTTCCTGTATCGTGTGTGCCTCCTTCTGCCAAATAAGTAGTTTCATCACCAATTGTCCATCCCACTACAGGATAAAGACCTAAAATGTAAGTTTTCATTGTTAGTTTTTTTTTTATAAAGATAAATGCAAAAACATCAATTTTCTCCATAAATTATTTAGAGATTTTTGTTAGCAATCACTAAAATATCAAAATAATTAATTCCTAATAACAGAACATTTCGATTTTTACATTCACATACTTTGATAAATAATAATAACCATCTATTATAAAATTCTTTATAATTTTAATTTACAAAGAACAGAATTCAATAATTCAGTAAGTCATAGGTTTATTTTGAGATAGATAATTTAAATATTAATCCATTTGTAATAATTCACAGCTGAATATTTTATATCTGTTATTTCAAACAATAAGAGTTAATAAAGTTAATGTAATAAAATAATTTATATTTAATCTTGATAAAATAATTCATATGCAATCTCAATAAAAAAATAACAATAATTTTAATAAATTTAGTCACAAAGACATTTTTCACATTTTAGTCACAAAGACTTTCAAGACATTTCTCAATATGTCGATGATGTTCTCAAAATCTGGCAACAGAAATCTGATTTAATCCAGTGTTTTTAACAGCCATCAACAACTCTTATGGCCTTCACCTTCAGATTGGGCAAGAAAGCATCCACACAGTTCATTTCCTGGACACATCCTTCTCACACTGAAAGATGGCCACATTTCCACTAAAGTTTATAGAAAACCAGAGTAAAAACTACTATTCATTCCATCAAAATCTAAAGACCCTTATATATGTAAACTGTCAGCCTACAGAACCCTTGTCAAATGAGTAGCTTCAATCTCTCTATCAATGAAGATGGTGGAGGAGTTGAGTGTACAAATTACATCGCATGCATGGGTATCCTTTTAGCCTCGTCCAAAATATCAATCTGGGTACACATCTAAGAAGGATGAATCTAAAATCCACAAAGGTTTAACTTCAGTTTTTACATCTTTCTAGGGTTTACAAACAAATTGCGAGAACAAACTAACTCAGTATCTCCTATATGAGAAACCCAACTGTATTCTCTTTATTACGAAATGCCAAGAACCCTACAAAATTTATCTGGAGTGTATTCTATCCCCATTATAGACGACAGATTCAACAAGAAATGGGTCTACATAGGAGCAACAGCTCAATCTATTTACAAGTGTATCAAGAAGCACAGTTATTCTATCCAAAATTGTTCCACCATAACATTAGCAACATTTGCATCTGAAAACGATATAAAGTTACTTCTACATGAAACAAGTCTAATACATCCTGGTAAGAACTGGACCAATCTGAAACATCTAAAGAGACTCAAAATATAGAAGGCTCATTTTTGGGACACAGCCATAAACTTTCTCCAAATCACAGAGGTATATTTTTGAAGTACAACTATAAATTAAATCTTATTACTTGAAAAAAGTATTTGGTTTTATCATTGTTGGCATTGGTGTTTTTTCAATCAATGAAATAATTGGGTACTTGTGAATCTTTGTCCCAGATGGTGGTTCTGCCCTGCCAACCAACATCTCAACTAGTACTTGTATCCCCTTGAAACAAATTGACTCAGCTGACTAACCTACATTAAACAGACACGTGTTATCCACTCAGTCCAGTGTTATTTCAATGCTGTTAAGATTATCGCAAAGTTTTAATAAAGAAAAATGGTTAAAATTTTACCTATATGCACCATCATGGTGGCACTTCAGTCACGACTGTTCATGCTCCTGATGGACTCCTTTCAGAGAGGAACTGCCAGCAGGCCACTGATTGTTTAATGTCACTAGTTATTGATACGTGTGTTCAAGAACTACTGTGAATCAATAACTAGTGACATTAAACAATCAGCGGCTCCCCTCCGGGAGGAGTCCGTTGGGAGCACGAACAGAGTTGTGACCGCCACTCAGTACATTATGTACTGGATATATGGTTATTACTGATATAGTTATGTGCTTTGGACTTAACTATGTACCATGTAGAAACTAAATTTAATTATCATTAATAATTATCCTCATATGGAAAAATAATATAATTATAAATAAATCAAGTTATGCACAAATAATTAAGTAAACTATTAAAAATTACAAGCTTTTTTTTTAATTATAGAAATTTACAGTGAAATAAGTTTATTGCTAGAAGGAGTCATTTTAATCATTACAAACCTGTTGTATTAATTTTTTTAGTAGTTGTTTAGAAAAATTTATGAAACACATTGGCTTAAAATAAACAGTAATAAATTCAAAAAATCCAGCAGTGAGTTGCTTAACTTTCCCTGCAGCATTTGATGGCACCATCTGCTATGCTATTTTATTAAAAAACTTTTTATATTTTAACTATTATGAAATGGCAAAAAGCTTAATTTTGAGGGTAGGAAAGGATTTTATAAAAAATTGTAAATGTTAATAATGAGTAAAACAGTCATTAAGTTCCGACCCTACTGGAGATACAATCAATCAATCAATCAATTTATTTATGGAGGCATAAATGCATACCTTGGCTCCACTATGAGCACTACCAAGGAAATAAAATACGGGAATGTAAACAAACAACAGTACCCACTGGAGATACACTAAAATTTAAATTTTGCCAAATTTAAGAAATTTTTGACAAAAAACACAGGCATTATTAAGCTTCAAAGAAGGTGAACAAAATCATGCCCCCCCAAATTTTTTTTTGTATTTCTCAATGTTTCAAGATCCCAAGTCCAAAAAGGTAAAAATCTTTTTTGATGAATCATCATACTTTTCCTCTGTTATATATAATAGCCAGGAAAGTAACATTAATTTCTATAATTGGAATAAAAACAATGTAACAAATCTGGTAGTTTATATATGAAATACACATACATTATTATTACACACATTTATATTTAATATAGTTTACCTATAATCATTCAAGACAATATCAATTAATCTGTTAAAAGCAAATGAACATTATGTTAGCTTTGGTTGATAGAGAAAATGTAAACCATATAATTACAGTGGTGCCTCATATAACGTACGCCTCAAATAACGGACACTGCGAATAACAAACTTTCTGTTTGGCCATTACGTAACTCGAGCAACGGACTGGCTGCGGACAACGGACTTTCCGTTCGGCAGTTACGTGAGGCAACCAATGGACTTTCTACGAACAAGTGCGAATGATGTTTCCACTCTTTTGCCGCTGCCAATGACAATCTGCTATTTTTATAATATATTAGTATTATTAGAATATATTATCACTATATCTGAAGTACAGAGCTCCCGTTGGGATTAGGCTTGCTCTCTTGTTTATTACGTACATCACCTCAGTGCAGGGTATTTACATTTATTCAAGTGTTGTGCAAATCATGGCTTCTAAAAAAACAGAAAAGTGATTTCAATTGAAACAATGCAAGAAATCATCAGAAGGAGTGAAAGTTGACAAAAACTTCCTTGTCGAATGGG